CGTCAATTTCCTTTTACTGTCTGAGTTTAACAGAAATAGACACTCTCTCCATTGATTCCTGCATCCGTATCATCTCATCTTCTTACACTGTTTTCACAGATGGAAATAAAAATTATTCATTGTTTTATATATTTTTATGCTTCTCCACGAAAGAAAAAAAAAAAAAAATGCAAGCACATAAAATTATCTTGTCACTTGAGACAATCCTTATCCAGTGTCCTGTAGGCTATATTTGAAAATGTTTCTTCTCCTTTTATAGACTGTGTTCGTTTAGGACATGAGTGATCATGGCTCTCCACAACTTTCTATACTTTGTAGCTCTTAGCAACGTTTTTCTTTTTACTACCCATCCAAATCTCTTTTCTGCCATCTATTTATACTAACTTGTACTTGCTGTCCCTGTTGCATTCTATATGCCCTGAGAGTGTCAAATTTTCCAAATCTTCTTTTCTCATTTGTGCCTTAGAAATTTCATCTATCTCTTTCTGATTCTAATTATAAAATGTCATTTTTGCTTGCATTTTCCTTAAAACTTCTTCATTACACATAGGTGCTGCCCATAGTATTCTCAGCATCCTTCTGTAGATCCACATCTCAGTCTCTTCTTCATCTGCGAGGAAATTACTTGAAATTATAGGACATTATTTACACCATTTACATCATTCAGACTGTTGTCCTTATCTTTATTGTCATATTCACAATGTTTCAGCTGTTGTACACTCTGGTGATATACATGGCATTTTCAAACAGAACCCTTTATTTAGTCCACAGGGGTAGATTCAGTTGCAAGTGCCATTTTCAGTTATCTCCCTTTATTAACTCAAATCTCCAAGTTTTTGTTCATTTCTACTCTGGTCAGGGATTGAACTCACAATGCTTTGGGTCAAGTCAATGGATTACATAATGGGTTCAGTTTGAAATTCCAATGTATATCACTTGAAGAAGGCCAGAGGATACAATGGCCAAAGTATTGTGACTATAACAATAAAGATAAGGACAACCGTCTGAACAATGTAAATAGTGTAAATAATTACAAGAGCTCATATCAGAAATAAAGAAAGATATTATAGGACATTATATTTGACATATAGAAGGACTGATATTACGTAGCAGTTGAGCACTCTTTGCTTTGTTTCTAATGAAATACTTTGCTTAGATTTTGAAAGGCAACTTTTGCTATTCTAATGTACCTTTAGATTTCTGTGTCACATTTTCAATCAACTTGGCTAAATTTGAAGTTTCAAGACTTATACTATTTTAGGCTACTTTTGAAATAAGTGGGTCTAATGTGGGCTACTAAGAAAAGTCAATTCAAAATTTAGTAGCACTGAGCTTTCGAATATAATTCACTTATATTCCTGATCTGATTGAGCAGCTTCTTCCCATGAACTGCTGCTGTGTGGAAAAATGACTCCCAAGAGGATGCTTCCTTGATCACTACAATCTTAACCTGTTCAAGTCTGATGTGCCTATAAAAAAATTTGGCGTATCCAAATGTAAACAAATGATGTCACACATTATGAAATGGACAAAGTCCGACAATTATTTTAAGACATTTTTATGTTTATACATTCTTTTTTTATAGACACATCAGGCTATATGATGGTTCCATATAGGATACAGGTTTGATTCCTGTCGGAGGACAAATATTTTCTATGAAAATTTCTCGGACATTCAGGCTGGTAAATGTTGTTTAATACTGTTTATCATAAACAGAGCATTTACTTAAATATTTGTATCTATAAAAAAGAATGTATAAACATAAAAATGTCTTAAAACACACATACATATATATATTTTAAAGAGAAGAGAGAAGGTGCAAACGTTTTTGGTTATAATGTGTATTTTTAATATATATATTACACTTTATTTTCCATATTTTTTGCTACACAGGTTTTGGGTCTTGTGACCTTCATCAAGCAAAGAGTGGTTGTTTTCACATATTATTTAAAGGAATTACATTTTCTTTATGTTTTCCTTATGTTTAACCATTGTCTTTTGTGTGGTAGTAATATAAGTTCTTTTTGGACTAGTGGAGAAAATTTTCTTCTGCTTAAGGGGTAATGAAAAAATTAGGATTGGTCAGAGAAAAGGGGGAAGGGAGGAGGTTATTGTCCTTATCTTTTTATGACCTCTGTATCTTTTTAAACCTATTTCCATTTTTCTATATTGTGTGTGTGCATGTTTTTGCTATTATGTCTATACATATTCCTTCTCCATACATATATGTTATTTTATTATAAAGAAATAGTATATATATATACATATATACGCACACTTTGTATGGTGTATAGGGTTTGTGTGTGTGTGCACATATGGTCCGTCTAGTGTGTTTGTTTTTGCCAGTATATATGTATATATTCATTCTCCATATATATTTGTATGATGTGTGTGTGTGGTCTGACTAGTGCATTTGGTTACTATGTGTGTATGGTGTCTGTTTGTGTGTGGGGGTTATGATTTATTTATAGTGATGTTTTAAATTTGTTTATGAATTTTTTCTTGTGTTTGTAGGGGACAATATATGTATTGAATATTTGGGCAGCAATCCCTCTTTTATACAAGGTTCATTAAAAACGACTGCCAAGGTGCTGCCGTTAAGTTTTTTATTTAATTTTCTATGTGTTCTCATAATTTTCTTCTTTTCTAGACATAAATTATATAAAAATGGTCTGAACGTTCCGTATGTTCAAGCTCTTTCAGCTACTCCTTTAACTATAATCAAAGATGATTTTATAAAGAAATATACAACTCCAGTTGACAAAAATAAGAAAATTAAATTATCTACTATAAAATTAAATTATCTGCTATAAGAAATTTTAAACTATTAACGGCATTGTCAACAACAATAACTCAGCTGCAAGATCCAAATGACTGAGAACCAATATTATTTACAAATTCACAAGTCTCTTAAGGAACTGTGTTGCTGATAAAATCAAATTCATGAATAATTATATTGGATATACTACAACATGCCTAACAAGAAGACTCACATTACATCTCTCTGACCATAGCTCAATTATGTCTCATTTAAATACACATGGAGACCTACCAAAGTCTATCTGCAACATACTTGTTGATAACACAAATATAGTAGCTTCATCCACATGTAAAAAAAGGCTAAAAATAATGAAAACATTATTAATAAAAAAGAAAAAGCCAACACTCAATAACATCAACGATGAACATGGCCACAATGTGCTGATCATGTTTGCAAAATAAAATGTTTCTATGAATCTAGATACATAGAAAAAAAATCCATACATTCAGTTAAAAGTAAAAATAAAATCATCCTTGATAATGGCTAAAAGAATAGCAGAAAACACTCAGACATATGGAACACTCAGAAAATCAATTTCTACATAATTTATGTCCAGAAAAGAAGAAAATGATAAGAACTCAAGAAAAATTAGATAAAAAATTTAGATGCAGTACCTTGTCAGCCATTTTTAATGAAGCATATATAAAAGAGGGATTGGTGATAAATACATAATTATATATATATATATATATATATATATATATATATATATATATAAATTTCAGAAAAACCGTTACCCGCAAATCTGCAACCAATACTTTCTGGTGCCATATTTTTATCTGCTCAATTATTGCTGGAGTTTTATTCCCAAGAGTCTGATTTGCTTTTCCAAGTGATTCTAGATTTTCTAACATTTACCAGATGTTCTTATTTATTTCAAGACCCAAAAACTTGGAATCATCTCCAAAATTAAATGTCTGGGGATTTGGCATCTTCTGTTTGAACACTGAAATATTTCTTACATATTAAGATAATTTCATTATTTGTTTAATCTTATTACTGCTACTTTTTATTGCAACCCTCTGGCCAGATCCACTTTTCATTATTAATATTACTTTATTACTAGTTTGATTCCATCTTATTACTGTTGCTTTTTATCTCAACCCTCTAAAATAATAACCATGATTACTATTTTAATTTTCTCCATTTTTCAAGAATTTACAAAAATGATAGGACAATTTAGGAAGAAAAACCAATGGGTCAATCCCTTTTTATTGCGATCCAAATAATTGTTTATAAACTCAATGATGAAATATATGTAAAAATAATTCAGTGCTTTCTATCAGTAAACACAGCAGAAGGAAAATGTTTGAAATGTTGAAGTTAAGAATCTTTCTTCAGTTTTACATGAATTTATGAACAGCAAATGACTAAGGAAGTAACCAATCAGATTTTAGTTGATTATGTCTTCTGTTTTATTCATAAATTCTGATTTTTCAGTTCTGTTTTTCCTTTTTCTTTTTTTGTTCAGCCATCTTGGTTCTGTCTTTCATTTCTCTCCTGTCATATTTCTGCTTACTGTCTCTGTCTCGATTGATGCCAAACCTAAAGGAGAGAAGAAATTGAAATTGTCAATGAAAAAGAAAAAATCAGATAAAGAAGAAACAGGTTTGTTTGGGCAAGAGACTGGGTGAAAATAATATTAAAAAAGGAGGATGTCTTTTAATGAAAAAGAAAAGATTTTAAATTTATTTGTAGTGAAGCAAATTTTAGGAAAAGCAGGAAAAATTATTTTTGATTATTTGTGCAAAATGTCTGAAATAAGAAAAGTTGAAATTGTTAAAAATTAAGAAAAGGAATAAAGACAGAAAAAAAGAGAGAAGAGAAGAAATTTAGATAAAGAAAAATGTGAGAAAGAAATTAAAAACACGAGAGAGAAAAGAAAGAAAGAAAAAAGATGATAGCAAAATAGAGCAAAAGAAAGAGAAAGTGAAAGATGTGAAAAAGTAATTAACAACACGATAAAGATGAAAAGATAAGAAAGAAAGAAGAAAAGAAAGAAAAATGAAAAAGAAGAAAAGAATGAAAAACAGTCAATGTAAGAAAAGTTGATAAGAAACAATAAAAATGTGAATTCAACAAAATAAAGAAAAGTGGAAGAATTTATAAAAAATGCAAAAATATCAAACATCACAAAAAGTAAAGGAAAAATAAAAATGTAAAAAAATGAATGAAAACCTCAAAGGCAAAGCAAATTTAGAAAGACAAAAAAAGAAGAAACAAAGGAAAAAAAGAAAAAGAAAGAAGAAAAAGAAGGAGAAAAGAAAGAAAGACAGAAAAGGAATAAAGAGAGAGAAAGAAAAAAGAAGAAAAAAGAAAGAAGAAAAAGAAGGAGAAAAGAAAGAAAGAAAAGGAATAAAAAGAGAGAAAGGAAAAAGAAGAAAAAAGAAAGAAGAAAAAGAAAGAAAGAAAGAAAGAAAGAAAGAAAGAAAGAAAGAAAGAAAGAAAGAAAGAAAAGGAATAAAAAGAGAGAAAGAAAAAAGAAGAAAAAGAAAGAAGAAAAAGAAGGAGAAAACAAAGAAAGAAAGAAAGAAAAAAAAAAGGAAAAAAAAAGAGAAAGAAAAAAAGAAAAGAAAAAAAGAAGAAAAAAAAAAAGAAAAAAAGAAAGAAAAAAAAATGAAGAAAAGAGAGAAAAAAAAGAAAGAAAATGAAAGGAGGAAAAAAAAAAGAAAGAAAAAGAAAGAAAGAAAGAAAGAAAGAAAGAAAATGAATAAAAAGAGAGAAAGAAAAAAGAAAGAAAAAGAAGGAGAAAAGAAAGAAAGAAAGAAGGAAAGAAAGAAAAGGAATAAAAAGAGAGAAAGAAAAAAGAAGAAAAAAGAAAGAAGAAAAAGAAGGAGAAAAGAAAGAAAGAAAGACAGAAAGAAAAGGAATAAAAAGAGAGAAAGAAGAAAAAAGAAAGAATAATATTTGAAGGTGAAAAACCAATGAAATGATCAGTAAAACGATTTAATTTTAACTTCAAACAAAAGAAAATGGCTCAGAAAAAAATTGGAGTGTGGGAAAGAAATGTGGGGAAGGAGTTCCTGGGTGGAGTCAGAGTGCTTGCTGTCCAACTTTGTACAAGTAATGCTTTGGCATTTCTTTATTTTCACATTATTATTGCCTGTGCAAATATTTCCAGGAAATATCTGTTTACCATCCAGATGGTTGGTTGGTTAGCAAGAAATGATGTTTCATCATTCTAATGATGAGTCTTATTTTCTGATTTTACTGCGTTCTTTGTTTTGCCTCAAGCCCAGGCTCTGAGCATAGAGAACAAAATACACCCCCCCACACACACATAGACAAAGAAATCAATCTCATGCTCATAGGGTATGCCAAAAAATGGATAATTACTTTTTGTTTATTAGTATCATCATTTATAAGTATCATCTGAAGATAAAACCTCTTGTAGGGCAAAAGGCCATCTCATACAATGGGGTATCTGGGGTTTCATAGCTATGTATTCTGCCAGTAGTGATAACATGGTATTGCTGGTCTAAGTTCTTTGTAAACCAGAGCAGAGAGAAAAGAGAAGAAAAAAAGAAAGAGGAAAAAGAAGGAGAAAAGAAAGAAAGAAAGAAAGAAAGAAAAGAAGAAAAGGAATAAAAAGAGAGAAAGAAAAAAGAAGAAAAAGAAAGAATAATAGAATCAATAGAATCAACATATCTGTGACCAAGGTGAGAAAAGTTACAGGATATTGACTATGGTTTGACCCCAATAGAGGGATGGGCTTCGCCATGTCTACTTTCCTTTTCCTAAACAGACAGAGTGATCAATTTGTTTTTTATAACTTTACAGTTCAAAACCAGAAAATATTTTTAGATTGTAAGAATTTTTAGGGGATAATAGTGATTTACTGATACAAGTCTTACTAATTAACCCATAGCTGTGGGGGAAGAGGTGGATTCATATCTTTCCCAATGGTAATTGCACATAAGTGAATATAACGAACCTGACTGGAATTGGAACTCAGCTCTTCGATCTTCAATTTCAAGCTGTTATCCATTACCCCACTTGTACATCAAAGCTTACAGCGCATGGTATTGCCAAAATGACCACCCATCTAGTTACTAACCAAGTTCAGTGTTGCTTAACTTTGGTGATTGTACAAGAAACAGAACTGACAGTAGAAACTTGCCATTTGTTCAAAATAATGTCCTTTTGATTTGTGTTTTTTATGGCTTATCAACCCTTTGCAGGTTATTTAAAGCCGGAAAATATTTTTAGATTGTTAGAATTTTTTTAATAATAGTTTACTGATACAGATCTTACTAATTAACCCATAGCTGGGGGGGGAGAATAGGTGGATTCATATCTTTCCCAAGGATATTTGCATGTAAGTGAATATAATGAACCTAACAAGAATTGGAACTTGGTTCTCCAATTAATAATTCAGGAAGATTATTCATTGCATCACCTGCACATCCAAGTATTCTCAAGTGGTTACCCATCTAGGTACTTACAGGGCTCAATGTTGCTTAACTTTGGTGATCATACAAGGACAAGAACTGACAGTAGAGACTTGCCATCTGTTCAAAATAATATTCAGCAAATATAGTTGATTTGTGTTAACCAATTTATTCATTTTTTATGACTTATCAACCCTTTGAAGGTTATTTAAAGCCAGAAAAATTTTTACATTGTAAGAAATTTTTGTTGTTGAGATGATAATGATTTAGTGATACAAGTTTTGCTAATTAACCCATAGCAGGGAAAAAGGGGTGGATTCATACCTTTCATAAGTTTATTTGTGTATAAGCAAATATAACGGACACAACTAGAATTGGAACTTTGCTCTCCAATTAACAATTCTGAACAATTATCCATTACACCACCCACATGTCCAAGCTTGCAGTATCTAGTATTTCCAAGCAGTCACCCATCTAGGTACTGACTAGGCTCAATATTGCTTAACTATGGCGATCATTCAGGAATTGGTGTTTTAACATGATATGGTCATAAACCTTATGTTAATTGAAGATCTGGCTGTAATTGTGTAAGTCAGAAGTATCAGTGTATTTTGTTTTCTGCCTAAATTTCTGAGATGATAAATGAATTATTTATATTTGGACTAATATCCTCATCTTTGTGGCTATTATCACTATCCCATCTAAATAATCTTAAAATAATCACCAACACTTCCAAAACCATTATGGATACACTCAGATCCACAAACACTTATAGCAATAATATTTCTGAAGCAGGCATTTATAAAATAAATTGCCAAAACTCTTCCTCCCAATATATTGGAGAAACAAGTAGAAATTTAAAAAAACGCATTTATGAGCACAAAAGAGACCTCACAAAAAACAACTTAACTAATACACTAGTCATACATAGAAATAAATTCAACCGCAATTTTGATTTTAAAAATGCTATACTCATAAAAAAAAGAAAATAACTCACTCAGAAGGAAAATCGAGAGTGCCACCATTGAATATTACCCAAATATTAATCTATGCCCAGGCTTTTTCCCTATATCACCATTCCTAATAGAATTACTTCTCTCCCAAGCAAACATACACAACTGTATCAAGAAATCAAAAGAAAATGGCTGAATCTATCAACACAACAAAACAATATTTCCACACATAACAGTACTTGACATAATTTTTAGTTGACAATATGAATATAATAGCATTTTCTAAATTTTTCCAGTTGCTAAGGACATTTTGTTTTGTTATTAATAATTACTTTGTTTTGATAAATTAATTTCGTTTTTGCCTTGAAAAAGGCCACTTGGACAAAATACGTTGGCTAATAATACAGTTTTCCTATAGTCTTTTACTTTTATAAATATTGTCTTTTTCTACAGGTTAACTCTGAGAAATTTTTCATATATATATATATATATATATATATATATATATATATATATATATATATATATATATTTTAAGGCATTTTTTATGTTTATATGTTCTTTTTTTGTATATATATATATAAAAGCATTGTGGTCATGAGTATCAAGACCAAATGGTGACAGTATGTTTCATGCTTAAATATAATCATCAGGCCATGTGGGTAGAATAGTACATATTTATATATACTCTGTCCCTGATAATGAGCACGTTTCTCCAATCATTATATCATAACTTAAAATCATTTATATCTATATATATTCTGTGTATTTGGGCACTTCAATGTGGTGTAATGGTTAACAAACTTGTCCCGCTAGATCAATTATGACTGAATAGTGAGATCGATCCTCACTGGGTGTCCCATACTTTCGGCCTTGTGTAACATCTAAGCTTGGAAAATCACTATATATTCTGTGTTTTTAGGCAGCAAATGTTCTTTAAGGCAAATATTATAAAAGACAACAGACATTTTGGTCGGAGTAATTTTATTGATCAACTTTTTTGAGTTATAAATAATCCTTTTCAGACAAGGAGGAAATTCTGTCAGAAATTGACTGGAGTTCATTTCGGAAAAAAGTACAAGGAATATTGTCTTTTGATTTTCTTAAATCATCATAAGTGTAAGTAGGGCCAATTGGTGAGCTTTATAGAACTAATGAGTAATGTAATGACGTAGGTAAAGTATGTTGTGATGTAAGTGATGTGTGCTTTTTTTATATACATTTGACGATTCGGGTTCTTAAGTTATAATCATTTTTATTTATTGATGGCTGTTGTAGTAGTATTAGTATTGCTTTGAGGATTGTAAATCTGTTTCTACCATTTGATTTTACTAGTATTTCGGTATTGTTTGCAAGTAGCAGTCTAATGTTACTATGACTCTTATCTGCTTATCAATGTGTTGTCTGATAGCACTTTATCTGTACCTACCCTGATGATGACTTAAGAAAGTTATAAGCTTGAAACATCTTTTGTGTACTTTCTTATGACATGAATTTTGGACAATTTCTGATGGAATTTGCCTGAGAAGGATTATTTGTAATTTAGAAAAATTGATCAATTAAATTGACACAAAAAATATGTTACCTTTAATAATAATAATAATAATAATAATATATATATATATATATATATATATATATATATATATATATATATATATATATACATGAAAAATACAGAAAATAGGAAAGAACTGGTTAGGTAAATAATCCAAAGTTCCTTAGTATTTTAGTTATTATTTTTAAAAAATAGTGCTCGATACAAAAGTAGAGCATAAATATAATTATTTATTTAAAAATATGATTCCAACTCGCGAGCATAAATATAATTATTTATTTAAAAATATGATTCCAACTTGCGAGTTTGAATCATATTTTTAAATAAATAATTTTATATATATATATATGTGTGTGTGTGTGTGTGTGTGTGTGTGTGTGTGCAGATGTGTAAAAAAATAGGAAAGAACATGTTAGCTAAATAATCCGGAGTTCTTTAGTATTTTTGTTTTTATTTTTAAAAAACAGTGCTCCATACAGAAGTAGAGCTTAAATTATAATTATTTTTTTAAAAATATGATTCCTTCGCTACATAAGAGGTCTCATGTTTCAAAAACGAGAGCTGAAAACCTCAATATAATTATTAAAGTTAAATAGAGTTAAAGTATCAAGCCCTGTTTCATCCTCAAGCAAAGATTTAGGAATAACCAATCTTGAAATTTATGCATCTTTATAAGCATGTTCATTTGCAAAATTAATTACTATGGAAATGGCTGGGGCGACCATTTTGGTAAAAGGCCTAATAGATAATTTTTATCAACATATCAGTCACCTTTGGAAAGAAGTCAAGCCGAGGTAGGGTGGGTGTATCCAGTTCAAAGTGAATGATGGCATTCATGTGCACACATCGTCTGGTCAGTCACACCGAAAGATAGCTTTTGGCACCATAATATGTCGTTAAGTGTCTAGAGAATTTTGTTTTACTTTATCTATTTATCTATTATTTATTTTTTTATCCTTTTATTTATTTTTTTTTTCTAAAGGGCTGTTTCGTACTTAAACGCGTTGCACTGAACTACAATTTGTATTTTTGACAACTTCATAAAGGGTTTTTCTATCTTATGATTGGGTTAAGCTTTTAAACCTTTTATTAGAGCATGAAATTTAATTATTTTTTATGCTAATTATTTAATGCGAAAAATTTGTTGATGTTGACAGAAAACCGTTAACTCATGTCTATGTTTTAATAAATTTTCATTATTTAGAAACTTGATAATGTATAAATACAAAAGTGAACATTGAAGTCAACACTCAGAGGCAACAGGGTGTTTCATGCTAGATGCAATCATCAGGCTGCCTGATGATTGAGTCCAGGTAACAAATCTGTTGGTATATAATCCAAGTGGATCCTAGTAATATAAAATATTAAAACTGATCCACAAAAAGAACTCAATGTATTTATTATTACAGAGCAAATAATTAATGCACAATAAAATCCCAAATCATCTTATATGGGAATAAGCTTATTTTAGCAGATGAATATTTTCTATTGTGTATATATATATATATATATATATATATATATATATATATGATCTGAAAATCAATTAGTTTGCAAAACTGTCAGTCCCCATATTGTGATTATTCCTATATCCACACTGCTTATGTCTATCTACACTGTAAGCCTTAATTTTTCAGGTACCCTCTGGATTTAACAATTAGTAAATTTCCTGAATAAATTAATATTTAATTTTCATCTACCGCTCTGTATTTATGCTGGTAATCAATAATAAAATACTGTGTAAAAAAAAAAATAAATGAGGAGACTATTTAAATGTGGGTATCCACTAAAAATAACAATTTGAAGTGACAAAATATGTGTATGTTTGTGTATGTCTGTTTGTGCCTGTATACACTATTTCTATTCTTGCATATGTGTGTGTCTGCAAGTGTGTATGTTGGCAACTTTTAGCAAAACATTGGCACTCACTCAAAACAGCAAACATTATTTTTATATTTGTTGATAGGTTTTGAAACTAATGGACATCTTGTTCACCGTAATCTTAATCCTTCTTCTCTTCAGGATCTGACGTCTTTGTTCTTGGGAGCTACTCTTGCCTAATCTTTAGTTAATCTGACAGAAGGGTACTTAAATGGGAAAACATGTCTTATTCATTGAGGTTGGACAAGTTGCTACGCATAACACCAAAGCTGTGGAAAAAGAAATTGTATTGCATCCCTTTTGGCTTCCCATCAAATCCTTTTTCCCATGATTACCACTCGCCACTTCACACATTATTAAATTATTATTACTAAGAATCTACAACAAGACTTCTCAACCGGGGGGATACCTCTCCAGGAGGGGGGATTTCAAATTTTTTTTTTTTTGTTTTTATTTCTTGTTTTTTATTTATTTAATAATCTAAAACAGGAGTGGATTACCAACTAGGGCATTACCATCAGAGGGATTCAGGAGGAGATATTTTAGCAGCCCCTTGTACTGTCATATAATATAAAAATAATAAGAATATATAATAATTATATATTATCAGCTAAGAGAAAGTGAAAATGTATAGAAAGTGTACTAATTTCTGAATCTTCCATAGTAGATTTATGCTCAAAATCATTAAACAAATAGCCTTTCCTAACAAAACAACTGCTATTACAATGTAGGTTATTTAAAAACAATAGTGATGGAAAATTGAATGAGGTTGACTTGGTTAGCAAAACATATAGAAAGTGCACTGATTTCTAGGTCATTTATACCTAGGATCATACAATAAATATCCTTTCCTAAAAAAAAAAGCAACTGCTATTACAATATAGGATATTTCAAAAACAACAACAATGAAAAACTGAATAAGCTCAGCTATGCTCATGCATCAACATATATTTGGCTGAAAAAATTTTAAATAAGAAAAAAGAAAATCATATATTTTTTAAGCATTCACCCTAAGAAAGGTGGGAGTGCCTCTAGTATGGAAAGGGTTACAGAGAATAAAAATTAGAGAAAAGACTCAGTATGGTGGCGGGTGATTGAAGAAAGGATAAAAAGAAGAATTGATATCAAGGTGTCAGAAGATGATAATTGACAAACCTTTTGAAGATCATAGTTATCAGGGAAGCAAGTAAGAGGAAGGGAGTTCCACTGTCAGGAAGTGTGAAAGAACAAGGTATTGGAGTAGAAGAGGCTGGTACATTTAATTGTTTCAATAAAAATAGGGTGGGACCTAGATGCCAACCTAGTAGCATGCTTAAATTCATGCACTTGGGGCACCAGGGAAAATAGCTCATCAGAGCAGTATCCATGAAAATATTTGTAGAAAAGACAGAGGGAAGCCACATCACATCTGCGGGAAAGTGACTGGAGTTGAAATCCCAAGTCAGGACCGATCACAGATCAGTCTTTGTAATTTATTGAGAATCTCAAGATCAACAGCAAGGGCGCCAGACCATATATGGCAACAATATTGAATGCATGAACGAATGGTAGATTTGTAGATGTGTAGGATGGACTCAGATGAGAAAAACCATCTGGCATGACATAGAGAACCAACATTCCTTGCGATAGATGCAGCTATTGATTCAATATAGTTGTTCCACCTCAGGTCAGTGGAAAAAGTGAGGCCAGGAAGGCACAGAAAACTGTCCCTGTGAAATGATAACCCATATCTGTTATATGTCTTACATGTTTTATTGTTTCTTCTCATAAACTATGTTAAATTTATGAAAGATTTCTGTATTATCTTATAGACTAGGAAGTAATCAAAAGTGATGTGAATGCTGCAGATTTTATGTATATCTGATTGCAATCAGATGTGAAGTGTGTGCAGCATTCATCTAAAAGCTAAAAGTGGCTTATTTGCTCTGAAAATCAGCATTTACACGTCTGATATTTACGTTGGTTTGAATAGAGAATTTTATGAAATTAAACTGTGTTTCAGATCTGAAGATACATAGAAAGATAGTTAGGCAGATAGAAACACACTATAAGTCATAGATAGATAGATAGATAGATAAATAGTAAAACATTAAGATAGATTGATAGATAGATAACAAATATATATATAAGTAGATATTATATATATGTATATATATATATATATATATATATATATATATATATATATATATGTGTGTGTGTGTAGATAGATAGAAACAGACTAATATATATATATATATATATATATATATATATATATATATATATATATATATATATATATATATATATATATATGAACAGACCCAGAGATACATAGATACAAAGACTATAATAAATAGATAGATAGATATGAACAGACTGTAATAGATACATACACACATAGACATGAACAGACTATAAATAAATAGATATGAACAGTTTTGAATAGATAGACTGATAAGATAGATAGATAGATAGATAGATATATAAACAAATAGATAGAGTTTAGATAGATAGATAGATAGATAGATAGATAGATAGATAGATAGATAGATATAAACAAATTTAGATATGAACAGTTTTGGATAGATAGATAGATAGATAGATAGATAGATAGATATAAACAAATTTAGACATGAACAGTTTTGGATAGATAGATAGATAGATAGATAGATAGATAGATAGATAGATAGATATAAACAAATTTAGATATGAACAGTTTTTTTGGATAGATAGATAGATAGATAGATAGATAGATAGATAGATAGATAGATAGATATGAACAAATTTAGATATGAAAAGTTTTGAGTAGATCAATAGATATAAACATAGATAAAGTAAAGACTGAAATAGATGAATAGCTATGAACAAACTGAATTAGATAAGAACAAATTGTGATAAATAAGAACAGACTGAAAGAGATAAAAACAGAGTTAGATAGATAATAAGAGAGAGAGAGAGAGAGAGAAGGAGAGAGAGAGAATCTTTAATAAAATCTGTTCTAGTGAACTTGAGCAATGTTAAATAACCATTTTAAACATTGGTGACTTATTGTGCGGAATCCTGCTCAGATGTTGTCATTTCAGAACAACTTCACCTCTAAATAATCCTTCAGCCAAGAGCCAACTGGCTTTGTCCACTTCACATGGTTGGCTTGTTCTTGATCGCCCAATGTAAGCATCTGTTCATATTATTCCTCCTTGTACTGACCACCAATACAAAAAGCACTTCTGGACCTGACAGGGCCACTCAGACTAGTGACAAAGACAAAAATGAGATGCAAATGTCAGCGAGTCTCGCACAGGCACTTTTGGAAAGAGCACAGTATATAAGTGGCCAGCTCCACTGTCGTGAAGGTCTTGGTTGTTCTTTGAACAGGTTTGGATATTGTTCTCAATTATTAAACCCTGCCTGGAATTTATAAATACAGGAAAATATAAGTGGCTTTAAATCATGGTTGAACAAAGCTTCTCTTTTTGTTGACATTCACTGAAGAACTCCTGGTTGGTCAAGTAGTGATGTTGCTAAGAGTCAACATGTGTTACTGCTCACAGCAAACATGAAGAAGAAAAAAGATTAAAAATCTGTCTAATTTTTTTTCAAGTAAATGTATTAATTCTTCTCCTAACTTTTGTCATCACTATTCATCTGTATTCAAATTCTAATTCTTAATAAAGGCATGAACCCAACTTTCATTGCACTCTATCTCTTCATCAATTATCTCAATGGTGGTTTTATTGCTAGTATGTCATGATGTTAAAGTAAAGTAGGGGTGAGTGGCAATCCATTTTCTCAAAATTTGATTACCTATCTAGGCAGTGGATGCATAATGTCTACTATATCCATTGTCAGTATTGGTAGATGGAAGTAAATTTCAATACCAGTCATATAAAAGTATATTTTCAACTAGTTGAAAAGCTGTCCTATGGGTTAGATTTTAAGCTAGTTATTTCAGAAGACCTAACTGGAGCCTTTGACCCAACAAGATATTATGGATTTGAAGACCTAAATGGAACTTTTGACACCAATAAAAGATTATAGATTTGAATTCTGTATTTATTGAATTGTACCTTTTAGGAAAATTATAAACATTATGAACTCTTGTATTCAATTCAATTTCGAGTAAAACTAGGAGTAAAGCTAAGCAATTGCTTTTAAGCAATGACGAGACCCATTGCCTTGCCTGAATGGAGGCTAAATCTGCCTTCCCGAGCCCACTCGAATCTGGAATCATAAATATGTTTTCTCCAGAAACACAGAAGAATCTCTAGCAGACTCAATTCCCTTTGGAGATTATTACAAGTAAGGCTCTCTATTTTTGTTTTCTTTTCACACTGCTTGTTGTGTGTTATAGTTACTCTGCATTGAACTAATGTAAATACGTGTTTATAATTTTGTAAATGTCTTTCTCTGAGAACAAAACATGTTTGTCATTTCTTTTCTGTAAACTATTCTGTTCTATTCATGAAATAAGATGTTATTATATCATATATATATATATATATATATATATATATGTGTGTGTGTGTGTGTGAAAATATATAGAAAATAGGAAAGAACTGGTTGGGTAAATAATCCAAAGTTCTTTAGTATTTTTGTTATTATTTTTTAAAAAAGGGCTCGATACAAAAGTAGAGCATAAATATAAACAAAACTAGAACTTGTAAAGCTTGGGATGACCCATGCCCTTTGTGCCTCCATGAGAAACTGCACATTATTAAGTTTCTAAATAATAAAAATCTATTAAACAATAGACATGAGTTAACGGTTTTTTGCCGACATCATCAAATTTATGCATTGAATAATTAGCTTAAAAACAAACATACAATAAAATAACTTTTATAATCCATAGACCAAATAAATAGTTTAAATACCCTACAAAAAAAGATAACCATTTATGAAGTTGTCAAAAAACAAATGTTATGGCAGTTTTTATATACACAAATCCCTTTCATAAAGAAATAAAATAAAAAAAATAAATAAATCTCCATAGACATGTAAACCAGACTAGGCGAAAACATCTTCCGTTTTAAATTTAGACACCCCCACCTTACCCTGACTTGACAACTATGAAAGTAACTCTATACTGGTACAAATTATTAACACCCAACACCCCTACCTATTTAAACAATTCGCCCTGGCTGTTACCATGGAAATTTTGCTTTCAATTATGAATATACTATTAAAACACGTAAATTTCAGAAATTAGTTATTCCAAAGAAAATTTCGCTTGAAGATGGAACAAAGCTTACTTTAATTCAATTTAATTCAAATAATTATATTGAAGTTTTCGGCTCTTGTTTTGAAACATGAGACCTCTTATGTAGAGTGTTGGAATCATATTTTTAAATAAAAATATATATAATATATATATATATATATATATATATATATATATATATATATAAAAAGAAGAGAGGTACCGCAAACGTTTTGGTTGTAATGTGGATTTTTTAAAAATATATTTGTTGTGATGATATAACCCAACTTCCCCATTCATGATAATGGACGGATTGGTTGCCGATTAAGTATGACCACAGTGGACAGTCGAAAAGTCTTCGTTTGTTAACACCTATTGAGGTTAGCATACGCCCGACTCTGTCTCTCTATTTGACACACCTACATCCGATTATAAACCTATTATTGAAAACCAACACTGCGGTTACTTTGTTTATTATATCTTGCACGAGATATAACAATATTATACTTTATTTTCCATAATTTTACTACATGTGTTTCTGGTCTCGTGACCATCTTCAGGTAAAAGGTGGAGATTTCCACATATTATTAAAAATAATTAATTTTTTTCCTTTATGTTTTTCGATGTTAAATATTCTCAATATGAGACATTCTCTGTTTTTGTGTTAGTAATCTGAATGTCTTTCTAATACACACGCATATATACATGCATGCTGACAGAAACACATGAAAATGGAAACAGATCTAAGAACACAGAGGGATCATTAAAACATTAAAAGATAAAATACTGATAAGTAATTCATCATTTCTCTTGGACCAATCTTAATTGTTTTATGACCCTTCACACAGAACTCTTCATTGCCAATTCAAAAAAGACATTTGGATTACTAACACACAAACAGAGAATGTCTCATATTGAGAATATTTAACATCAAAAAACATAAAGGAAAAAATTAATTATTTTTGATAATATGTGAAAATCTCCGCCCTTTACCTGAAGACGGTGGCGAGACCAGAAAATTGTGTAATAAAATTATGGAAAATAAAGCATAATATATTTTTTTTAAAAAATCCACATTATATATATACCTCTCTTCTTTTAATATACATTTTCTCGTTGGAACCACTATAATTCTTTTCTTTTATATATATATATATATATATATATATATATATACACTTTCTGACTATAGCTCAATTAGATCTCATTTAAATATTCATGGAGACCTACCAGACACTATTCTTAATATACATGTTGACAACACTAATATAATAGTATCATCTACATGCAAAAAAAAAGGCTAAAAATAATGGAAGCCTTATTAATAAAAAAACAAAAAAACAACACTTAATAATATTAACTTTGAACATGGACACAATATCCTGACCATGCTTTGAAAAATGAAAACATTATATAAATACGTACATGCAATAAACTATTTCTTATTTAACAGTTAAAATATTTAATCCTTGAAAATGGCTAAATGTATAGCCGAAATTTTTCGGATAAAAAAGAATATTTGGACAGTTTTTATATAATTTATCATCTGAAAAGAAAAAATTATTAGATTACATGAGAAATTGTATAAAAAAACTAAATAAAAACTTTGTCTGTCATAAAATGAAAGAAGGATTGCTGCCTAAATACACAACATATATATATATATATATATATACAGGGTGTCCATAAAGTGTTTGTTGCACTTTAAAAAATTTATAACTTTAAAGTGCTCACGAACTTTATGGACACCCTGTATATATATATACATTTCCCCACTATATGCATATATATATATATATATATATACACACACACACACATGCATATATATATATACCCATTTTACCCCAATTATATATATATATATATATATATATATATATATATATATATATATATAGATATTATTAGTGGAAAATATACATACATATGCAAAATATATATAAAAAATTCCCATACATGTATATTTTCAGAAAAAAAATTTTCCAAGAGGAGGGATCCAGGTAGAACTCAATGTCTAGGATATATATATACACATTTTCCCCCACTATATATATATATACAGAGTGGGGAAAATGTATGTGTATGCTTTAAGGCAGTGGAGAACTTAGAGAGGGGAATTAACAAGAGATAACTGATAACTGACATCTATTAAATTGTGGCATGTGGAACTAGAACAGCCTGCCTCAGTGAACAAAATAAAGGGTTCAGTTCGACATTCCAACCACCTGAGCATATAACAGCCAAAACGTTGTAATAAATATGGCGCCAAATATGAGGACAATAGTCCGAATAATGTAAATAGTGTACATAATACCTCATCTCAGAAATATAGACAGATACAGAATGAGAAAACTTTATTGAGGAGAAGTGAGGAGAAAGGACAATAAAAGAACAGGGTACAGGAAGACAGGAGATGGTGATTGATGCTACATTTAAATTTTTGAAGATTGTAGGTGGCAGGGAAGCAAGAAATCAAAAGGGAGTTCCACAAGTAAGAAGTGCAAGAAAAGAAACTGTTAGAAAAGAACAGACTGTTGCATCTAGCTAGTTCAACAGTAAAACAGTGAGACCTACCTGCCAATCTAGTAACACACTTAAATTCATGTTGTTAAGCCACTAGGGAAAAAAAGTTCAACAGAGTAGTTGCCATGAAAATATTTTTAGAAAAAATAAATTACTTCATATCGGTGAGAAAGTGACTTAAGTCTAGATGCCAGGTCAGTATTGATTATATTAGAAAGCTTTCTTTGAATTTTGTTAAGTACTCAAGATATAAAGCAGAAGTAAAAGGCCAAATACTGTAGTAGTATTTGATGTAGACAAAAATGAATCTATACTAACTTTTTTCAGTACTAATATCTGATATAACATTCTGAACACACATTAGAACAAAGTTCCACGGTCAAAAAAAGGAACTATTAAAATAGAAGAGATAGTTTCATCTAGTTAGTTAACAGCAAAATAGTGGGACTTAGTTA